GAAATTAATGTCAAAAGATGATCACCTGAAATTGAAATAAATTGGAATAAAAATTAGTGGGAAATTGAAAAAGTGTCAATCTCACATAGGAAAGCTAGAAGAATGTAAACCACTTTATATTGCTCAAGTTTGGACCTTAAGTGATACTAATAGTCTTTAAAGGGAAGAGAACCTACATGCTAGTAGGTTGAGCCAAAGCCCACACGCGCGCGCAGCCGCGGCCATTCGTTCGAACGATCGGTCGGCTCGACACGGCACAGGCACCGGTCACAGGTCGTGGGCTTGGGCTTGGATTTGGACTTGGGTCAAGCTAATATTTGATTTATATTATTTTATTATAATAATATATTATTATTTTTCCTCGAATTTTCTGTGTGTGATACGTGGATTCTTCTAGAAGGGCGGTTGACAGTTGAGGTGGTCCAAACGGGTTATGTCTGTTGAAGACACAACTTTTCGGCTGTTATAACTTTTAGACACAATCTTTCAACTTCTATAAATTGGCCTCGATACCCCGGTTTTCATTTACTTCGAAATTAATTCCTCTTTCAATATTATTCCTTTATCCCTGCATTATTCATATTTTACATTCCAGCCTCGAAAAATTATTTTCGTTCATTTTAGTCCTCCAACTTTTAGAGAGATCAGAAACGTGAGTAGGTTTGTCGGGTCTTGTAATTTGTAGTGCTATTATTACAAGTCGAGGTCGTTGTACCTTGGGAGACGAGTGCCGGAATACCATCAGCACAAGTGCGGGGCATATCGTCTTAAGGAGAAAGAGTCGAACTCTTGCCTCGACCATTAACATTTAATCGCATTCACTTTTTCACGACGTTATTATGCCCAAGTTAATTCTCGGTGATATTATTACTTGCCTATTTCCAATATGCTTGACTGATTTTCAATCATCAGTAGAGCCATAAACTTTCACATGAGTCTCTCGTTCTCATTAACAACAACAACAACAACAATTGGATTTGCTACGTTTTCGCTTCTTTTTACTATTTTTGGTGTGATTCTATTTGTGCTCTTCATCTCAACTGGAATTTGCTTTCGACTTCCCATATCAAATGGAGCAAAATCATCATATCTCAATCTTTGCACACAAGATCCTTAAGAAAATAAAATAAATAAATAAATAA